TATATATATATATAAAGATTGTTTTGTCTTATTTTAATTATTTGTCATCTTGCAGGCTACTTGGTGATTGCTTTATAAACAAGTAGACCTAGTGACCCCTAAGACAGGTTGGGAAACCCTGTACTGCACAATGGTATAACAGTAGTGAATATCATATTCACAAACTATAACTGTAGAGAATATCATATTGTCATGTTGCCAAAAAACTACAGTAATTATGAGCCATAATTAATCAGGAAATTGACCCTCTAACACTAGCATTCTCTACTTGTTTTCGTTTTATTTATTTAAAAAAACTGACCCTCTAACTTTTTATTATACTATTTATTATAAAAAAGAGACTTGTCACAGCATTTACTGTACATATTATTGCTCTTTTGTTGTTTAAGATTGCTTCTATTGTCCTCATTTGTAAATCGTTTTGGATTAAAGTATCTGCTAAATGACTAAATGTAAATGTTAATCAGATCAGACTATGAGAGTGTGAGAATAACACAAAAAAGTCAAGTGCATGACCAACCTGCCCATGAAGTCATCTTTCTTTCCTGCATCTTTGTCCCAGATGGTGATGTCAATGAAACCGCCCTGTTCATCATACAGGTGGAAGTCAAACTGCTCTCTCCACTGGGGGTTTAGCGTTTTTGGTATTGTCTGCATAGAAGGAAAGAAGCACACTTGATCAGAATTTACCTTACGTGAAAGAGAAAGTCTCAAATGAACAAGTAACTTGAATAAAGCTCATGTGGACCATACCTTACTTTTGTACTTTTGATGTCCCATTCTGAATTTGACATAAGGGTCACTGAGGCCATTGGCATCCATAGGCTGGAGGTCACGGGCCTCAATGAGACTGATGCTAACAATGCCTCTCCACAGCTGAGCCTTTCTGTGAACGTCTGATAACCTCAGACTCTGATGCTGCGATGTGACAAAAACACACACCCATACACACACTCACATCAGGCAAGATACAATCCAATGTGAAGAGAAAGTCAATGAAGTTAAAGCTGAAAGGCTGACAATGTGTTTGTGGTCAAAAATGTGATGCGAAAACAGTGCAGCAACAAGTTGCAGCAACATGAAAGACACATATTTTGGGGATGCGGTATGTAAGGACAACATACACACAGAGAGTGACGGCACTGCAAAGACAGAGACAAACACAGACAACAGTGTGTCAACGGTATCTTTCCATGAATAAAACATGAATATACACTACTGTGCAAAATTTTGAGGTCGGTAAGATTTTTTAATGTTTCTGAAAGACATCTCTGCTGCATTTATTTGATCAAAAATGCAGTATAAACAGAAATAGTGTGAAATATAATTACAAATGAAAATACTGTAACATTAAAATTTTCAGCAGTCATTACTCCAATCTTCAGTGTCATATGATCCTTCAGAAATCATTCTAATATGCTGATGTAGTGCTCAAGAAATATTTCTCATTATCAATGCTGAAAACAGTTGTGTTGATTAATGTTTTTGTGGAAACATGATATATATTTTTTTTTCTGAATTCTTTGATGAATAGAAAGTACAAAATAACAGCATTTATGTTAAATAGGGATCTTTTGTAACATTACAAATGTCTTTACTGTCACGTTTGATCAATTTAATTCACCACCAATAAAATCTTACTGACCCTAAACTTTTGAACGGCAATATATGAAATAAACAGCAAAAATCTACTAAAGCCCTTCTAAGATCCGGTCTACATTGTCTAATAAGGTAAATCTCATGAAGAAATGTTTAAGGTCATATTTGACGGCATTAAATGAAAATAATAAAAATAAAAATGGAAAATAAAGCTCTTGTTGATTTTTTTCAAGAATCAATGTAGTACGACAAATGCTAACATTATAATATTAATTTTACGACCATTCATTTATCCAGCAATGAGAAATCTTCTAATTAGTAATATATATGTTTATTATCTAATTAAGAATTTTATATATGCAGACTAATGCAGTCTTTTAGTATCAGATAACTGAGGACTGAAACAAACTATTTTAATAGATATCTCTGTGCTTAATTTGGAGTCCTTATTAATGTGTTTCTTGTTTAAAATGCATATTCATTAAACTCTGAGCAAACCTGTTCTGAAAAAACACAGTTTTGATGTTAAAAGCAGGCAGCTAATGACGTTCTCTCCAGATATTAGTGTGATACTCCGACTGTACACTGTAAAATGACTCTTTTTGTGAGAGGCTTAACATAAGCATTCAGAGCTCTAATGTGATCTTTGGCCATGATGCCGACCTACTCGTTTTGTTCTGATGTTGATTGTGACTAAAAAAGGCTGCACTTCCTCAGTGACATGATGGTTAAAAGAGATGAAAGTATAAAACCATGAAGTAGATTAAAAAAGTAGAACTGGAAGCAAGTATTATTTTGGCTAACAGCTGTGTTAGCATTAATGTTGTTCTTCCATGCACTTCAGGGTGAAGTTTTCTTTATATTTTTATATATCATAGCAGAAGTTTTAATTTAGGAGATGTATCAATTACAAATCCCGCTTGATTTGCATCTACAGAGCTCATCGTTTACAGTATTTTGGAAATGAAACAGATATAGGAAGTATAAATAGAAGAGACACCCAAGTGTGCACCGCGAGTGGTGTAAAAGTTTGTTATCGTAGCGCTGTTACAGTATTCCCGAGACCCAGCCAACATGGCCCACTTTGGAGCTTCAAAGGCTTGGGTGGGGTA